ATCGAAACGATTGAACAGACTGAACATGCTGAACAAGTAAACGAGCAACCTGCGCAAGAAAGTAGAGTTGAGAATTTGAGAGATGAATCTCATGTGAACTCAACAGAACAGCGTGAACCTGTAACTAATAATGAAACAACTGGTCCAGTATCTGTTCTTAGAAGAAGATCAGTCGTAGAAAATAATACCACAGCAAATCTAATATCGAATAACGATCAAAGAAGGAATGACAGAGTTTTGCAAGAAAGCAATAGGCGTATAAATCAATTGATAGTAATACAGATTGAATCTAATGAAGCTTCAGTGTCAGCTCCTAAACACAATGGCAATAAGAGAAAGGCTGATACTGAAAACGAGAATCCAAATGCAAAACGTTTAAAAGGAAAAAATAAATCAATGATAGCGTCCAGAACTAAAAAAACTAGCCAAGAGAGACGACTATCTCGTATCATAAATATCTGTCCAAAAGTGAGCTATTTAAATAGTTAATAAATTTGATTTCATGGTCTAAAGTTTTATTACATAACTGCAGAAATTTCGAAAACGCATTTATCGCGCTACATCAGAACGAATGTACTTGATTTGCCGAGATAAAATTAAAGATTTGCACCATAAATATGCTATTATGGGTACAACTGGCAACGTAAGATTATTTAAGAAAATTTTTTTCTAAAGTTTCATTTGTTTAATCAATTAACCTCTAATGAATTATTTGTTTTTTACCAGGTTTACACTGTTAATATTACTCATTTGCCAAAATGCACTTGCCTTGACTTTTCAACGCATAAATTTTGTAAACATATTGTACCTATCAATTACTAGAAGTATGTTTGTGTTTTATCTATAGAAATACTTACAAATACTTCTACATCTAAAATTTTAGGTTTTTGTTTACCTTAAAGTTTTGTGCATAAACCGAGACAGCAATTACATATTTCAACGGGCGTTATTGTCTAGTGAACTTAAATCGATGTTTTCTGATAAAAGACCTGATCGATCTGTCTATGTAAGTAGTCGGATTTATAAATGCTTTTTAAAATTATTAACGTTTAATTAATATCTTATTTAATAGTCTAGTCTAGCCGTTCGTAAACGATATAGAGCGTATATTTTAGGAACAGCTTCACAAACACGAAAGCCAATTGAAGGAAATTGCTCTGTCTGGTATATTAAAAAATATATTTTTTTTGAAGATTATTTCTTGGAGTAGATGTAGGCTATTTGACGTTCTTTAATTGAATAATTTTATAATAGTTATGAAAGTTTGGATGAAAATGAAATAGATAATATTGTCTGGTGCCAAAAAGGCTGTGGAAACAACCTTCACGAAGCCTGCTATGAAAAATGGAAGGAATCACGACTTGAATTTAAAGGAAGAAATGTAAGCAATACTCTTCTTATTTTGAACTATTATTAGTCTTGGTGTTTTATTTAGTCATATGATCTAACTTTTATCTAGGTTACTTGCATTTACTGTCGTTGCGTGTGGTTGGAAGATAAAACGAAATTTTCAATTAGCAAAGAAGGATTTGTGAACTTTGGAATTATGGGAGAGAGGAATAAAAAATTCTAAAAGAATTATTTAGTTTAATAATGTTATGCGATTTGATTAGCTTAATTTATATAAATTGGATTAAGTATCAATTGCTATATATGTAATTTGCTTTTATATCTAATAATCCAATAAAATATTCTAACGTAATTTTTGCTTTCAATCGAATTGTCTTTTAAATTTGTAAATTAAAATATTCTGGCCAAGAAATCCATCTATTACGAAGGGTGTATCTTATTTTGGTTATTTTTTTTGATCTTTATTAATTAATAAAATTCTTTTTTATTTCATGATTGATAATGGCATAAATGGTATACAAACACTCACAGAGTAATAAATAACTGATGGTAGTCGCTTAATTGATTGTATAGTAAATTATTATATGAGAAAAATAATTTAAAAAAAAAATTCATATTTACAACTATTAAATTTTTCCTGTCTCGAATAAAAATTAAAGGTATTGGTTGGGTCACTATATTATTGACCGTGACCAAGAACCGACCCGTTTGAATTTATAATTTACAGAGATTATATGCAGATTATTTTGAAGAATTTTAAGTACTCATTAATTTTAGATTTAACCCGAATAAATCTGATCATATCGAATTACACAATGGTAAGGTCGCCTCTGCTTCGCATCCTGGTCGGTCGGTCCATTAGTTGAAAGATTTCTCAGATTATTTAAAAGCAAAACACATGGGATAGTTTTGTCAATTAATGTTGCCAGTACTCGAAAAATCAAACTGTTTAAGGATGATATACAAAAGAAAATTTAAATAATAATAAAATTTTGAAATCAAATCATGATTAAAAGGGAAAATTGATAATAACTTTCGAATTAGATACGACCTGGTATGATAGGATTTACATAAATATGCAATATTCAGATAAAAGGGGTTTTAATTTGGAAGTAAGAAAGTATATAGATGCTGATTACAAATCAACGGTTTTCACAAAATTATATCTACACCAAACATGCAAGTAAAACAATTTAATCTTTAAATCATATCTCATTCACTGCATTTTACCCGAGACATCAAATCATTGTTTCTTCGAAAAATTGTAGTGTGAAATGGAATGATACTATTATATATAGATAGATAAAACTAGTTGCCTATTCTGTTTTAATCTCTTTGAGCCATCAGTAAAAGCAAATACTGTACAAAAAATTATCTTAATTTTTTCTTTAATATGTATTCAATTTGTGACTTTAATGACTAATGGAGTATATCTAAAAAATCAAATAAATATTTACCCGAATTTATGAGCCAATTATGTTTTTTAATTATGTATTGCTTTTAATTTCATTAATTTAACGTATAATTTTTAAATTTCATAAAATTATAACGTTCATAATTTTAATTAATAGTATAAATAGTATAAATGAACTGAGAGATAAAATGAAGAATAAATAATTCATAGATAATTTAGAGTTCAAAAAATACATTTGAAAAAAAAATGGATTTAACGATTTTTTTTTTATAAAATAAAATTATTTTGAGCCGCAGCCAACTGAAATCGATTCTAAAAACCGAAATCGAAAATCGAAAGGGTAAAAATCGATTTTTCAAACGATTAATCTGTTATTGAAAACGATTAACAGTTTCAGTTTTGAAAACCAGATAATCGGCAAATCGGCAGATTTTTTTTTTAAATTATTTTATTAAATCTTTACTTTTAAGCAAGTTAATATCATAATCCTTATTGATTAAAATGAAAAAACAACTAAGTATTTAATTAACAAAACGAATTAAAATGTTAATCCAATATATTCATAAATTTCTTATTTCATTTCAGAAAGTAAATTCATCCTTCTCAACTGTTTGAACAGTATTATTCTTTTTTACAAATAAAATGCTCATAACAGAAGAACCTAAAGTTGTAGGAGTTGAAGATTGTTTTATATCAGAAGATGCTGTAGAAATTTGATATTCAACACATAGTTCTTCAATAAATTGGTCTTTTGAATACTTAAAAATAAATACATACTTGATCAAGAAAATATAAATCTTTGAAACGCGGATCGTAAAATGCTGCATATATTCCTATGTTTTCTGGATAATCCCATCTAATTGACAAACCCTCTTGGATCTCAAATCGTTACAATTAAACGATTTTAACCGAGTTTGAAAATTTTAATCGATTTTAGTTTTGATTTTCGATCTTGGCGATTTTCGCAGTTTCGATCCGATCCCTACAACTGAGTCAATTTATTGAAATAAATTTAATAAATAATAGTATTATAGTTTAATTTAGCAAATGTAGCTTTTATTAGAATAACCAAATTTATAGTTCCAAAAATGCATTTAATCATAAGGTAAAGAACATCTGAGAGAAATAATTGGTAACGTCAAATAATAAAAAAAAGATTTAATGATAATTACTTATTTGAAGTTAAACATCAGCAGCAATATATATTCACGGAATATTTACTTTTAGATTCTTCATCGACATTTACAGTGACATCATAATATTCATCACCATCCAATAATTTAATATACTTTTTAAAGAAACTTTTCAAGAGGGAAAATAAGGGTTATAGTAAACAATTACACTATATATTATATCAATAATTTTAAAAAAAAAAAATTTTATGCAAAGCCAGTTTCTATTTCATCAGAAATTAAATGATATGTAAATCCATCCTAATTAAAAATTATTTGGTAAATGTAATTCTCTTAATTGTGAGAATGGTAGATGTACTTTTAGTATCAATTTTATCAATCCATCAAGAAATAGTTGAAACGATATTAAAATTAACAATGTTTTTATCAATAATCCCATAATTTTTAATATTCTAGAAAATAATATGTTTTCTGAGGACTTTATATCAGGATCTATGTATTAATCAATAAATCTTCATAAAGTTGATGTTTTAATAGATTTTTTTATATTAAAAGATGTATTATGAAAGTCCTTTGAAGGATAAACAATAAAATCTGATCAAAAGAAGACATCATTACAAAGTATATTTCATCGATTTAAATCTATTGTTATTCCAAGTAGTAGTTTGTGAAATAAGAGTTGTACTTTTAAGAAAGACCATCTCAATACATTTCTTTAAACATCAGCTTCTTTCATTTGCAAATCATCTTTTTTAATGATTGAAAAAATGTTTTTTCAGAAAGTAAAGTAAAATCAGATGATTTAAAGATGTTTTAAATATTAAATCTTTTGAAGTTGAATCTCTAACAGCGGTTAAAACTTTAAGGATTACCAACATATATCACAAAAAAAAAATACACATTCAAGATTTAGTGCTTCATAAGGGTCAGGTCGGGTCGGGTTTGAAGCAAACTCGAACTTGAACCCATTAATATTTACAGAACCTCAATTTTGACTCAACCCAATTATTGTTCGACCGGACCCGATTATATTTAACTCGTATTCAACTCAAATTTCAAGGTAATATTAATACTGAAAGTAAAAAATATATTATTGGTTCCAGAAATTCGAAAACAAAAATGCAGTTTTGAGCCTAAAATTATTTAACAGGAACACTCATAGTTTATTAAAATAATTTCATTTCTATTATGATGATTGCGCTCTAAATAATGACATAATTTTGTTGTATTTGAATCATCAGTATTGCGAAGCCATGTTTTATGTCCACTAATATTTTTGAAAAAAAAAATAATACTCAACCTATAATATACCTTATTTAAAAAAATACGAGTAGTTAAGATACTGTATCTAACTTTCTCAATGTGTTTTTTGAATTTTATATTCTGGTGGAAGAAGTTTCTCTTCAAAAGCTTTTTGGCAAAAAGTTCACTTCGCAATTATTTTCAATTTACAAGAGAAGCTGTATAATCAGAATTAATAAGGTCAATAGTTTCACTTATTTTAAAGTTTCAAATATCAGCATCGCCTGATCATTCAGGTCACCTGAATCGAGACCTAACCTGATAGGTTTTAAGAAATTAGGACTCGTAACATAAAATGATAGTTCTGACTTGAATTTCTTCTCAAGTCGGGTCAAATGACCCATGTCGATTCGACCGGCTCAAAGCACTATGCAAGATATTATTACATTTTGTGTTAATTATACTCCAAATGGTTTGAAAATTTTCCGGAAAATATTTGGTAACCTTATATGTTTTTTATTTGAAGTCAAGGTTTGTAGTAAGTACAGAGAATGGTAGCAGAATATTTTTACATTAGGATCTCTGATATATCACGCAATATTAACTTTTTTTGGTTTTTTTTTGTAAATCTTTTCCATTATAGGGGCATTGATCTTACCAGTTTAGCGTTTTACAAATTCACAGGAATATTAGACATGTATCATATGATGCTTTTGTAATTTTAGTTGTAAAATCTTTTTTTTTCTTTATCGAATCCATTCATCATATTATAAATATGATTGACTTTGTTAAACATCCTGGTCTAGACAGAAAAGGTCGTGTTATAAACGTTAGAGCAAATTATTTTGAAATTTCTTATCTGCCTTACACAAATATTTACCACTATGACATTATAATTACACCGGAAGTTCCTCCTTCTTTAAATCGAAGAATTTATTGCGAGCTTAAAAGTTTATAAGCAGATATTTTTAAATGTTCAAAACCTGTATTTGATGGCTGTAAAAATATTTTTACTGCTATTCCGTTACCTTTTAAAGCAGCTACTTTCGATATAACTCTTTTAATAGATATCACACCACTTGGTGAAAGTTTTCTGTGCTCTTTTAATATCAAAGTTAGGAAGGTGACTGAATTTAATATAAAAATTTTTCGTAAATTTTTTGAAGGAAAATTCAGTAGTTCATCAATGAATATTTTGTCTGGTAAATATTTATTATTGTTATTTTATTATTTTTATCTTACTTTTCAATTAATCTAAAATTATGTAAATTAAGAATTATGGCACTTAATGTATTAATTCATTATAAAGTGTTAATAATGCATGTAACACATAATAATGACAAAATTATTTATGCAAAATATAAAAGATTGTTTTACACAAATCAAATCTCACAATCTCTTTATGGCGGTGCAGAAGTTTGGCAAAAATATTATCAATCTATCAAGCCTACGTCCAAAAAATTGATGGTCAACCTTGATATAAGCGGTACTGCTATTTATAAAAATTGTAGTTTAATACAGATGGTTGTAAAATTACTCGGCAACCGACATCCTGATGATCTTAAAAGAGAAATTCCAGATTGATTTCGTGTGAAACTTGAAAAAGCTTTAAAAAATATAAAAATTCGAGTCACTCATCTTGGAAGTGTTTCCAAGCGATTGTTCAAGATCGTTAAACTAACCAATACTCTAGCTTCAGGTACTAAATTGGAAATTGATGGTAAATGTACTAATATTGCTACATATTTTTATGACACTTACGGAATAGCTCTTCATTACCCATTTCTTTCTTGCGTTATCATCTGAAAAGACACCTATTTCCCATTAGAAGTATGTGAAGTTGTCAAGGTATTTCAATATGTCAAACCTTATGTAAAAGAGCAGTCTTTTATCCCATAAATTCATTAAAGTGATTTATTTAGGAACAAAGTCATTTCTGTAAATTGAATGAAAGACAAACAGCAGATATGTTGAAATTGACTTGTACACAACCTCAAGTCTGTGCAAATAAAATTTTGCAAGGATCAGAAATTCTCAATCATCAAAATAACAAGCATTTGCGTTAATTTGGTATGCATATTTCTGATGAAATGGCCATGGTTGTAGCCAGAATATTGCCGGCACCAAGATTACAATATCATACCTTTTCTTGTGATGTTTCGTTCATTCTAAAGGATGGCTCATGGAATATGTGCGATAAAAAAGTCACTGCCAGTGCAACACTTAGTTCATGGGCTGTTATTACTTTTGGAAGATACGAATTGAAAGCAGTACAAAATTTTATTCAAGAATTAGTTAATACATGTTTTGATATTGAAATGAATATTCTAAATAAGTCTTCACCTATCCAACAAGGTAATCCAATGGGAAATATTGAACAGATTTTGAGGCAAGCTTGGGTTAAGGCTGAAAACATGTCCAGATCACCATCTCAGTTAATTGTATGAGTACTTTCGAATACTAGCATAGCATTGTATGCTGAAATTAAATGTATAAGTGATACAGTACTTGGTGTAGCTTCTCAATGTGTTCAATCTAAACATATATTTCAAGCAAAAAGCAGTATTGTGCTAATGTTTGTTTAAAATGAATGTTAAACTTAGTGGTATGAATTCGTTTATCGAACTAAGCCTAGTACCATTTATTTCACAACAACCTACTATGATAATAGGTGCAGCAGTTTCTCACCCTTCCCCTAGTAGTGATTATACTCGTCCAAATATTGCTGCTCTATATACTTCAATGAATTCAAAAGCATCTCGTTGTAGAGTCAACATTTTCATTAATTAAGGCACAGCAATACAAAAGGAAATGATCAACATTACACAGTAAAAATT